TAAAACAACAAGAGTGCACACGCTGAAATGTTTCGCCTTCTTTACTTACCATTGATGTTATGTTGATAGTCCTAAATGAAAGCTTTACTACAACTATTACATAAACTTAAAGACCAAACAGCCTATTGTTGATGCGCATCAACTAACGCAACTTGGTAGTGACATAAAAGCTCTATGACGTTGTTTCTAGCCATGAAAAAAAACGTCAAATTATAACGTCCTATTTCGCGTTTTTCACGGATTCCAACATGGTGTACGCTTAAAACTACATCTTCCAAGAAAAGTGGAATTAAGCGTCGCACTGATACCTAGTGTAAATTAAACACAAATGGACACAAAAGATACTACACTATCTGCAACTTCCGTTCTAATAAAAATAATAATAAAAATATAAATTTTGAACTCGGCTTTTTGCATTTGCGCCGATCTGCATTTCACTTTTTTTTCCTTCACTTGCGCCGATTTTGTCTTTCATTTGCGCCGATTGTGTACAGGTAAATTATACGTGAAAGTTATTTTTTTATTTATCATATAAACCTCTTCCGTTAGCCAGTTGTACATATGTTATTAGCTGTCAATTATAACATGTATATAACTGTTGTTTTAGTTTGTAACCCGGATTTGTTTTTATCTCTATCGATTTATGAGTTTCGAACAGCGGTATACTACTGTTGCCTTTATTTGTCCCCTGCTCACAAAGGGGAGGTGGGAGTAGAATTTCGAGCAGGATAAGTCAATTTAAAAGATATTTGTGCACTCTGTTTACATCCACTAAAATCACGGAGTAAAATTCTATTTACAGCATTTCAAAGCACCACAATAAAATCCATAAAAATGTAATACTAGTACAAATGAGTTATTATCTTGCCGAGAATTTATATGCCACACATCTGATATATTCCTTTCTTGTCATTTTATCTTTTCTATACTTGTTGTACTTGCCAATAACGAAGTCCATCTGTTCTTTCTCGTGTCAAAACGAAGTTCTCGAACAATATGACCAAAATTATTTTAAACATAAGGGAACACTATTTATATCCATATATTACAATGCAATATACATTCTAGGTTTACTACATATACATGTATTTACTCGTATAGCAAATAAAGTATCGGGGCTAGTGATACAAAAAATAAAATAGGCGCTAATGAAAGAATCAAATCGGCGCAAATTAAAGATCGATTTTTTTTTTAAATCGGCGCAAATCTCGTACGCCCGTGTAACTTTACACTGGTAAATTTATATGACTTACGCTTAGAATTTTAACTCAATATGTGATTTTCAAAACTGAGTTTTCAGAAGGTTAGGCCGATAATAAATACTTTCTAGAAGTTTCGATATATACTGGCAACGTATGCATGTTGAGATTAACTTACTTCTTCAAGATTCTCGTAAAATAATGGTGATCTTGCAATGAAGTTAAATTTTATCTATACTGCTTAATTGACAAAATCTTATAGTAAAAATAAAAATGATAAAGGTTCATTGTCTTTCGTCATTTGTTTCATTTCAAATTGTCTCTTTGTATTTTATATTTACTGTCTCGTTTATTCAAAACACGTGAGGTAGTAATAACGGGGATCGTATTTTATGATAGGTTAAATGGATGTAAAACGTTTTAGAATCAAAAAGTTTAATTCATATATTATACCTATAATTTTAATTTTCTTATATTTTAAATATTCAGAAATAATGAATCCACAAACTAGATGGAATAATTTGTATACGCTCGTCTTAGTCGGGACACATAATGGTATAAAGAAGTCCGTCCGTGCTAATGTCTGTCCGTCTGTCATTAGTAGCGAAAGAGTGCGCTTGGGCGAAGTTCTGAAATTGACGTGACAAAAAAACCCACACATCTAGTCTAATATAGTCAAATAGTCTGTAAGTTATCCAGTGTCATCTTTCATTTCTCTTTTTATTTTCAATGATTTTGCTAATGAGAGGAGAGGACAAAAACAGACTTTCCTTTCTAAAGCGTCGTAAAAGGTTATTTCGAACAATTTTTCATTCCGACGGATTGTGTTTCTGAAGGTTAATTTTGTGCGGCAACAACATCATGAGATCTGATACTGATACATACATATGATCTCTTGTACTATTGGATAATAAAGTAGGTGAATATAGTTGTTATTCTTGATTCTTGAAAATTTAAATGTGGGTTTCAAACGTCCAATTTGCAATTTTTTTTAAAAAGTACGCCAGCAAGGAAAACTTGTACTATGACGTCAGATTCAATGTTCTGAAGAAAGACAACTCTTTTCTTCAAAACGAACGAGAAAAAAACATGAAAATTAATCATAACTTTTTTGAAAGGTCGGTGACATATACATTTTTTTGCTTTATTTTGAAGAGTACACATGGCACTTTCCTTCTTGAAATTTTTATGAAAAAATCACTGGTAGATATTTTTTAATACTTGAAACGTTTTTCATTCTTGCGTTTTATTTTTGGCGGGAATGAAATAAATCATATTTTTTAAGATCAAAACAATAAGAGTCTTAAACTCTTGAACCTGTATTTGATAGACACAAATCTACTGTTTAACATGAAACAAGAATTATGCTTGTAGGTTTGATATAATGGGATTTTTTGATAGTTTAAATAACAAGCAAATATCATGTTAATATTCGGGAAAACACGAAACTGAGGTTGCTATAGTGACAAAACTAAGTCGGTGACCCCCAATTTTTTTTATCATATTTTGTTCCTCAAATCATGAAATACCTTCACACAAAACGTTAAGGAAAAATCACCGGTAGAACTGAATAGGCTGTTTGGTCTTTAACATGATCCAAGAAAATGAAGTCAAGGTCATATAAACCAAACGAGAAATACATGTACACCTTACAATCATTCAATACACTAAATATAGTTGACCTATTGCTTATAGTTTCTAAGAAACAGACTTAACCATGAAAACTAAACATTGACCAATGAATCGTGAAAATGAGGTCAAGGTCAGATGAACCACGCCAGGCAGACATGAACAGCTTACAATCCTTCCATACAACAAATATAGCTGACCTATTGCTTATTGTTTAAGAAAAACAGACTGAAACACATAAACTTAACACTGAGCAATGAACCGTGAAAATGAGGTCAAGGTCAAATAAAACCTGCGAGACTGACATGTACATCATAGAATATTTCCATACACCAAATATAGTTGACTTATTGCATATAGTATAAGAAAAAAGACCAAAACTCAAAAACTTAACTTTGACCACTGAACCATGAAAATGAGGTCAAAGTCAGATGACACCTGCCAGTTGGACATGTACACCTTACAATCATTCCATACACCAAATATAGAAGACCTATTGCATAAAGTATAAGAAAAACGGACCAAAACACAAAAACTAATCTATAACCACTGAACCATGAAAATGAGGTCAAGGTCAGATGACACCTGCCAGCTAGACATGTACACCTTACAATCATTCCATACACCAAATATAGTAGACATATTGCATACAGTATAAGAAAAACAGACCAAAACACAAAAACTTAACTATAACCACTGAACCATGAAAACGAGGTCAAGGTCAGATGACACCTGCCAGTTGGACATGTACACCTTACAGTCCTTCCATACACCGAATATACTAGACCTAATGCTTATAGTATATGAGATATGGACTTGACCACCAAAACTTAACCTTGTTCACTGATCCATGAAATGAGGTCGAGGTCAAGTGAAAACTGTCTGACAGGCATGAGGACCTTGCAAGGTACGCACATACCAAATATAGTTATCCTATTACTTATAATAAGAGAGAATTTAACATTACAAAAAATCTTAACTTTTTTTCAAGTAGTCACTGAACCATGAAAATGAGGTCAAGGACATTGGACATGTGACTGACGGAAACTTCGTAACATGAGGCATCCATATACAAAGTATGAAGCATCCAGGTCTTCCACCTTCTAAAATATAAAGCTTTTAAGAAGTTAGCTAACGCCGCCGCCGCCGCCGCCGCCGGATCACTATCCCTATGTCGAGCTTTCTGCGTCACTTTTACCGTTCTTGAGTTATTATATGTCCCTTAATAACGTTATATGCAAGTGGGGGCATCATCAGTGTCCCATGGATACATTCTCCATTTTTTTTTTGTTTTTTTTTTTATTTTCCAAAAAATATGTAGTGTTGTAATATTTCATGTTTAGCACTGGTTAAAGGAATATTGTCCTGAGTTTTTCTTTCTTTTTTATTGCACAACATATGTTTTTATCATGTTTTGACATTGCTGTTGAATAGCAGATAAATTGAACAACGCAATTAATACAAATATTCAGTCTCCGGATCCTATATGACAAAGATGGCTATAAAAACTGGAGCAGGATTTGCGTTGCCCTCTTTTTAGCTCACTTTACCCAAAGGGTCAATTGAGCCATTATCATCACTTGATGTCGTCGTTTAACGATTACAAAAATCTTCTCTTCGGAAAATACTATTAGTTATATATTATAACTAGCTTCAGTGCTATAAAGATAAAAAAATTCTTACTTTAAAAAAGTCCGAGAATTTTCTTAACTACCACTACCACGACCATTACCAGAGTCCTGCATTTTATTGGTTGTGGCTTTCATAATTGACAGGTGCAGAAACGGTATTGGTCGTATTGCTTTTGTTCATGATGTCAGTTAAAAATGTTGTTCGACCACTGGTTGTGGTATGTTCTTACTTCGTTTCCACTAACATTAATCTGTAACTATTACCGGTTTTATCAATTTTCTTATTACTGGGTGTGATTGGGGGGGGGGGGGGTATGCAAGGCTGGTTATGCTTGGTCTACATTGTTTCATTTTGTACGGCGTTTTATTTTAGCCACTCCCATTTAGTCAATTTCATATCTGGATGTATAATATTTTAACTGAACTTTAACATTGAATTGAATATGAAATGTCCTGATTTCTTCAGTTTGTTTCTCCAATTGCATGAAAAAATGGCCAATTAATTTCACAATTGCATGCAATAAAATAAACAACGCATAAATAAATGAACTTCAAAAACTACTTTTAATGTAACAATAAATAAGAATAAATATAAATTGCACAGTTTCTTTGCAAAAGTAACAAACCACACGAGAATATTTTGGTTTATTTAACTATAATAATACTCATACACACACCATTATGCACATTACACACACACACACACACACACACACAGAATAATTGTTTATGTCCTGATATATTTTTTTTAAACATTGTTAAGTGTTCGCGCTTATGTAGAACTAGGTTAACTATATTTCTTCTTTGGAATGTTCCGTGCATAGTACAGGTTAAAGGTAAACTATATGTGGTCTTTATGAATGGATGTCAGGTGTACATGTCCGTCGAACAAGAGAACAATTTCCATGGTCTTTATGAATGGTTGTCAGGTGTACATGTCCGTTGGTCAGGAGAACCTTTTCCATGGTCTTTATGAATGGTTGTCAGGTGTACATGTCCGTCAGTCAGGAGAACCTTTTCCATGGTCTTTATGAATGGTTGTCAGGTGTACATGTCCGTCGGTCAGGAGAACCTTTTCCATGGTCTTTATGAATGGTTGTCAGGTGTACATGTTCGTCGGTCAGGAGAACCTTTTCCATGGTCTTTATGAATGGTTTTCAGGTGTACATGTCCGTCAGTCAGGAGAACCTTTTCCATGGTCTTTATGAATGGTTGTCAGGTGTACATGTCCGTCAGTCAGGAGAACCTTTTCCATGGTCTTTATGAATGGTTTTCAGGTGTACATGTCCGTCGGTCAGGATAACCTTTTCCATGGTCTTTATGAATGGTTGTCAGGTGTACATGTCCGTCGGTCAGGAGAACCTTTTCCATGGTTCAATAATCGCGCTTTGGTCAGTTTCTCATTTACATTGCGTAATAGATAAACTATACTTGGTCTATATAATGGTTATAAGATTTTGTTGTCCGTCTGACAGGGTTCACCTGCCCTTGACCTCACTTTCATGATTCAATGGAAAACACTATTAAAGTCATAATTATAAGCAGTAGGTCCACTATTATAAAATGATTTTAAGATGTACAGGTCATTTAACCTTTAACGGAGTTCTATGATTCAAATACTTCCTTAAGTCATGCAGTTTCTGAGAAATAAGGTCATCTGTATTTGGTCTTAAGAATCAATGTAAGCTGCATATATCAATCCAGATTTTGCATTTTATATCGATAAAATCTTTAACTTTGACTATAATCTGTCTGACAGGGGTGAACTGACCTTGACCTCATTTTCATTGTTTATCGTTTGAGGTTATTATCTCTAAAACTTTCAACATATTATTCAGTGTTAATGATTTAAGCAGCCGAGACATTTCTTGTTGGCCCTTGTTTGTTACAATCTTCCTTTTGATAAATAGTCATGTTGCTATATAAATCAGAGACGTGTTTCTAGTCTGATATTTTTGTCTTGTTCAATGATTTTTAGCATAGTATTACGGTTTGTTTTAGGTGTAAACATAGTCTTCAGTTGTTCGTATGTAAGGAACATGATAATACTCCATGAACATATTCTGGCAAAGTATGGCACACACCTGAAAAATAACAATTAATGCATGAGATTAAATTACAGCAAAACAGTCTGATTGAAATATATCACTCTGTTTATACGTTATTTTATATGCTGCGCCGTTTTGAAAATACTTGTCGACATTAAATTTATGTAACACAGTGAGAGGAGATCTGGCCACCGTTTCACAAAGCCTTCTGAACTTACGACCACCGTATCATTTTACGATCCGTTTACGTGTGGTTCTACGTTCCCGTTACGTGTGTTTCACAAAGGCATCGTAAAGGACTACTAAGTTGATCGCAAGTTACGCACTGTGTATCATCGTAAGTGTAATGTAAAACGGAACTCTAGCTGTAAACAGGAGGTGTGAATCGTAGTTTATTTACATCGGAATATGGCACACTCTTCTTTCACAGATCGATGAGTCGAGCATGCCGATGAGAGCGGACGTGAAAATGTTTGCAGAGAGAATCCTTCAACATCATTGAAATTTTTTTGCCAAATTGGTTTCATGGATAAATATTGTTATCCTTACATCTTATATTTTATGTTTTGGATAATATTTTTTTGTTGAGGAAAGTTTCTGCAGATATTTTCAGGTTTGTTTGAGACATGTGGTCAGATGGAATCCATTAGTAGTTCCATGTGGGAAACTATCAGACCAATCTATTTGATGTCTGAGGGTTTTAGCTGTTGTTCCCTTAATGGATCGGTAGTTTCTTTCCGAGATGCTTTATTGTAGGATTTTCGGCTTTCCTCTACCAGGAATACAGCTGGGCATTTAGCGGTATCGGTTTGGAATCCAAGTATGTCTTTTCCGGTTTCTCGTTCGTTGCCTTGGCATTTGTGTGGCATCCGGGGTGACCTTATCCTTTATTTTGTATATAATTGTTTTTATATTTTGAATTTTTATACGACCGCAAAAAAATTTTGCGGTCGTATATTGGTATGACGTTGGCTTCGTCGTCGTCGTCCGAAGACACATTGGTTTTCGCACTCTAACTTTAGTTTAAGTGAATGGATCTCTATGAAATTTTACCATAAGGTTCAATACCACAAAAGGAAGGTTGGGATTGATTTTGGGGGTTATGGTACCAACAGTTAAGGAATTAGGGGCCAAAAATGAGCATTTTTGTAACTTCCAGACATAACTTGTGTGTTAGTGTATGGATCTCTCTGAAATTGTACCACAAGGTTCCATATCACAAAGGGAATGCTGGGATTGATTTTGGGGGGTAATTGCCTCCAATTTTCAGGAATTAGGGGACAAAAAAGGGGCAAAAACAAGCATTTTTCTAGTTTCATGACAATAACTTGTGTGTAAGTGTATGGATCTTTATGAAATTGTACGTCAGGGTTCCATATCACAAAGGGAAAGCTGGAATTGAGTTTGGGGGTAATTGCCCAAAACGTTTAGGAATAAGGGGCCAAAAATAAGCATTTTTCTAGTTTCTAGACAATAACTTGTGTTTAAGTGTATGGATCTCTCTGAAATTGTACTGCAAGGTACCATACCACAAAGGGGAAGCTGGGATTGATTTTGGGGGTAATTGTCTCAAAATTTTAGGAATAAGGGGCAAAAAGGAGAAAAAAAACAAGCATTTTTCTAGTTTCAAGACAATAACTTGTGTGTGAGTGTATGGATCTTTATGAAATTGTACTACAATGTTCCATATCACAAAGGGAAAGCTGGGTTTGAGTTTGGGGGTAATTGCCCTAAACGTTTAGGAATTTGGGGCCAAAAAGGGGTAAAAAAAACAAGCATTTTTCTAGTTTCCAGACAATAACTTGTGTTCAAGTGTATGGATCTCTCTGAAATTGTACTACAAGGTACCATACCACAAAGGGAAGGCTGGGATTGAGTTTGGGGGTGATGAATCATAAGGGGGTTCAAAAAATTTGGGGTGGGGGTTTTTTTTTTTCCTTTTTATACGACCGCAAAAAAAATTTTGTGGTCGTATATTGGTATGACGTTGGCGTCGTCGTCGTCGTCGTCGTCGTCGTCGTCCGAAGACACATTGGTTTCGCACTCTAACTTTGATTAAAGTTAATGGATCTCTATAAAATTTTACCACAAGGTTCAATACCACAAAAGGAAGGTTGGGATTGATATTGGGGGTTATGGTACCAACAGTTAAGGAATTAGGGGCCAAAAATAAGCATTTTTGTAACTTCCAGACACAACTTGTGTGTTAGTGTATGGATCTCTCTGACATTGTTCCACAAGGTTCCATATCACAAAAGGAATGCTGGTATTGATTTTGGGGGTAATTGCCTCAAAATTTTAGGAATTGAGCCAAAAAAGGGGCAAAAAACAAGCATTTTTCTAGTTTCATGACAATAACTTGTGTGCAAGTGTATGGATCTTTCTGAAATTATACTACAAGGTTCCATATCACAAAGGGAAAGCTGGAATTAAGTTTGGAGTTAATTGCCCAAAACGTTTAGGAAAAAGGGGCCAAAAGGGGGCCAAAAATTAGCATTTTTCTAGTTTCCAGACAATAACTTGTGTTCAAGTGTATGGATCTCTCTGAAATTGTACTGCAAGGTACCATACCACTAAAGGAAAGGCTAAGATTGATTTTGGGGGTAATTGCCTCAAAATTTTAGGAATAAGGGGCCAAAAAGGGGCAAAAAAAAAACAAGCATTTTTCTAGTTTAAGGACAAAAACTTGTGTGTAAGTGTATGGATCTTTCTGAAATTGTACTACAAGGTTCCATATCACAAAGGGAAAGCTGGAATTGAGTTTGGGGTAATTGCCCAGAACCTTTAGGAATAAGGGGCCAAAAGGGGGCCAAAAATAAGCATTTTTCTAGTTTCCAGACAATAACTTGTGTTCAAGTGTATGGATCTCTCTCAAATTGTACTGCAAGGTACTATACCACAAAGGAAAGGCTGGGATTGATTTTGGGGGTAATTGCCTCAAAATTTTAGGAATAAGGGGCAAAAAGGAGAAAAAAAACAAGCATTTTTCTAGTTTCAAGACAATAACTTGTGTGTGAGTGTATGGATCTTTATGAAATTGTACTACAAGGTTCCATATCACAAAGGGAAAGCTGGGTTTGAGTTTGGGGGTAATTGCCCTAAACGTTTAGGAATTTGGGGCCAAAAAGGGGTAAAAAAAACAAGCATTTTTCTAGTTTCCAGACAATAACTTGTGTTCAAGTGTATGGATCTCTCTGAAATTGTACTACAAGGTACCATACCACAAAGGGAAGGCTGGGATTGAGTTTGGGGTTGATGAATCATAAGGGGGTTCAAAAAATTTGGGGTGGGGGTTTTTTTTTTTCCTTTTTATACGACCGCAAAAAAAATTTTGTGGTCGTATATTGGTATGACGTTGGCGTCGTCGTCGTCGTCGTCGTCGTCGTCGTCCGAAGACACATTGGTTTCGCACTCTAACTTTGATTAAAGTTAATGGATCTCTATAAAATTTTACCACAAGGTTCAATACCACAAAAGGAAGGTTGGGATTGATATTGGGGGTTATGGTACCAACAGTTAAGGAATTAGGGGCCAAAAATAAGCATTTTTGTAACTTCCAGACACAACTTGTGTGTTAGTGTATGGATCTCTCTGACATTGTTCCACAAGGTTCCATATCACAAAAGGAATGCTGGTATTGATTTTGGGGGTAATTGCCTCAAAATTTTAGGAATTGAGCCAAAAAAGGGGCAAAAAACAAGCATTTTTCTAGTTTCATGACAATAACTTGTGTGCAAGTGTATGGATCTTTCTGAAATTATACTACAAGGTTCCATATCACAAAGGGAAAGCTGGAATTAAGTTTGGAGTTAATTGCCCAAAACGTTTAGGAAAAAGGGGCCAAAAGGGGGCCAAAAATTAGCATTTTTCTAGTTTCCAGACAATAACTTGTGTTCAAGTGTATGGATCTCTCTGAAATTGTACTGCAAGGTACCATACCACTAAAGGAAAGGCTAAGATTGATTTTGGGGGTAATTGCCTCAAAATTTTAGGAATAAGGGGCCAAAAAGGGGCAAAAAAAACAAGCATTTTTCTAGTTTAAGGACAAAAACTTGTGTGTAAGTGTATGGATCTTTCTGAAATTGTACTACAAGGTTCCATATCACAAAGGGAAAGCTGGAATTGAGTTTGGGGTAATTGCCCAGAACCTTTAGGAATAAGGGGCCAAAAGGGGGCCAAAAATAAGCATTTTTCTAGTTTCCAGACAATAACTTGTGTTCAAGTGTATGGATCTCTCTCAAATTGTACTGCAAGGTACTATACCACAAAGGAAAGGCTGGGATTGATTTTGGGGGTAATTGCCTCAAAATTTTAGGAATTAGGGGCCAAAAAGGGGAAAAAAACAAGCATTTTTCTAGTTTCAGGACAATAACTTGTGTGTAAGTGTATGGATCTTTATGAAATTGTACAACAAGGTTCCATATCACAAAGGGAAAGTTGGGTTTGAGTTTGGGGGTAATTGCTCTAAACATTTAGGAATTTGGGGCCAAAAAGGGAAAAAAAACGCATTTTTCTAGTTTCCAGACAATAACTTGTGTTCAAGTGTACGGATTTCTCTGAAATTGTACTGCAAGGCACCATACATTGTAACACAAAGAGAAGGCTGGGATTGAGTTTGGGGGTGATGAATCATAAGGGGGTTCAAAACATTTGAGGGGGGATTTTTTTTTCCTTTTTTTTCTTTAAAATTTTCCATTTTAAATTGGTTATTTCTGATTTATATACATGATATATAAAAGCAAATAATAATGATATGGTTTGAATAGGTAAATTAAAATTTTTTTAAGTTCTTAGACCACATTCATTCTGTGTCAGAAACCTATGCTGTGTCAAATATTTAATCACAATCCAAATTCAGTGCTGTATCAAGCTTGAATGTTGTGTCCATACTTGCCCCAACAGTTCAGGGTTCGACCTCTGCGGTCGTATCAAGCTGCGCCCAGCGGAGCATTTTCTTTTTCTTTAAAATTTTCCATTTTAAATTGGTTATTTCTGATTTATATATAAAAGCAAATAATAATGATATGGTTTGAATAGGTAAATTAAAATTTTTAAAGTTCTTAGACCACATTCATTCTGTGTCAGAAACCTATGCTGTGTCAAACATTTAATTACAATCCAAATTCAGTGCTGTATCAAGCTTGAATTATGTGTCCATACTTGCCCCAACTGTTCAGGGTTCGACCTATGCGATCGTATCAAGCTGCGCCCAGCGGAGCATTTTATTATATTTGTGAGGACGAGCGAATCAGGTGAGTGGGTGTGTTCGTATGTTTTTCATTTGTAGACGAAACAAAAGCCATGTATCTTTGATGGGTTACTTCCTTTGATATTCAATAATACTTTTTTTCTTTGTATCGGAAATTTGAAATAATAAAATGACGAGACGTGTTTATATCTGATCAAAGGATTAAACGAATTTTTAAACAATTATTTGATAATGTCTAAAGTTATTATAGTATTGCAATTTTAGAGGAGATATGATTGATTGATTGCTGTTTTCTGAACGTACAGTGGCAAATATTTCATGCAGATTTGTGACCAAGAGAAGAATTTTCAAACAAGAAATAAGAAGTTGCATGCGTTGTCGTTGAAAAAGAATTAAAAGAAAGTCCAATGAAAATAAACAAAACCAGTGTATATAATGTGCGAATCCTGAAATACCATTTTCAATGTATCCGTTATGAATTTCTAATGTAGAATGATAAATAAAACAGACGACACATTCATGATTTTTGAATAGAATAAGAAATAAGATATAATGTGTACTGTTTTTATAAATTCATGATATAGGTATGAGATGCGGACGGGTTTTTATCGCGCCTACAGCCATCCAGGTGTAAAATTGATACACAAATAGATAAATATATTAAGAATAGTTCACGAACAGAGCGTGCAAGAGATTTAAAAGCAGCAGTTAAGTTTCATTTGCAGAAAAATGTACCTTTTAACATAATTATTAATGTTGTATAACTTAAAACAGGTTTTGGTATTCAGCTTGTTGATATTGAATTAAATTTCACTATGCTGTTTTCGTTATGCGATTCATGTTTACTGTCGAATAATGATACTAGACTTTCATTTTCACTGTATGGGCGATTCATTTCTATTGTATATGCGATGCATTTTCACGGAAGGAAATTAATTAATTTTCATCATATAACGTCTTAATTCAGCCGATTCTCTAACAAAATTTATGAAGTCAGAAGGATTGATTATATGTGACCCGCCACGACATTTCCAGGCTTATGGAGGTAGAACATCATTGTGAGAAAAACGCCGTTAACTATATGTGACTAGTCACTTCCAGGCTTATGAGGGTACATTGTCTAAACTTTGCTTTTTGCATATTTATCTAGAACATTCTGAATCAAAAAAAAAAAACTCTGTCATGTTATTATGACCTATTTTTTGTAATAACAATGAAACGAGTCATTTCGAATACCGACATGATAATGAGACTGTTCGATGACGAATTTTTCATTATCGAAGACACTAATTTATAAAATACAAAGTTATTGTATTCTATTGTAGTTGTTCTCATATATGCATTTGATACAGTGCATTTATTATGGATATATTTTAGACTCCATTTATGAAAATCTATAGATCAGAGAATTTTGATTTTTTTGTATCAATTTAAAATGTAGATTCAAATATTTATATGTCGTTGATACAGACAAAAAGATCTTATCGTGTCAAAATCATGATACAACAGGAAATTTTCATATGCACGGTCTGAACACAAGAATTTACAGAATAAGAATATTTCTTACTGAATAGAGAAAAATGGCCAAAAGAATTACAGAATACAGAAATGTAAAACCCACCCACCCCCTCCCCGCCTAATCCAGACCCTCATATATCATTGTGACGGATAGTTTTTTATACGACCGCAAAACAAATTTGCGGTCGTATATTGGTATGACGTTGGCGTCGTCGTCGTCGTCGATCGTCGTTGTCCGAAGACACATTGGTTTTCGCACTCTAACTTTAGTTTAAGTGAACGGATCTCTATGAAATTTTACCATAAGGTTCAATACCACAAAAGGAAGGTTGGGATTGATTTTGGGGGTTATGGTACCAACAGTTAAGGAATTAGGGGCCAAAAATAAGCATTTTTGTAACTTTCAGACATAACTTGTGTGTAAGTGTATGGATCTCTCTGACATTGTACCACAAGGTTCCATATCACAAAGGGAAAGCTGGAATTGAGTTTGGGGGTAATTGCCTAAAACGTTTAGGAATAAGGGGCAAAAAAGGGGCCAAAAATAAGCATTTTTCTAGTTCCAGACAATAACTTGTGTTCAAGTGTATGGATCTCTCTGAAATTGTACAGCAAGGTACCATACCACAAAGGAAAGGCTGGGATTGATTTTGGGGGTAATTGTCTCAAAATTTTAGGAATTAGGGTCCAAAAAGGGGCAAAATGTGACAAATCAGCGTCATAAAATGGGCGCTTTACCGGAGAACCAGTGAGTAGCGCAAAGCTAACAAAACCTGCGTTTCAGGAGTAAGTGCATTGGACCTATTTGTATGATGTTTTATATCTGGTTCTATTGACAATGTTATTTCATTGATACTATGTCTATCCAGTCTGTATCTGGATATTATATCCATTTCATTTTCAAAATGATCAAACGAAGAAAGTATGGTTCTAATATTGAAGATTCTTCTTCGTCTTCTAACATTTGCGACATCTTGATCGAGAATAAAGCCATCTTAGATATGGTTTAATTCATATTAGCGGAAAAACTACGATCGAGATACGACTGGGTATAGCTGTAGTAAGTTACGCCAGGATTTACGTAGTATTTACGCTCATCTTAACTTACGACGGCTTTGTGAAACGGCTGTAAAACCTACGATTTATTTACGACGAACGTACGATGACACGTAGACTTACGAAGGCATTGTGAAACGGTACCCTGGTTTTTAACAGATTACTGCAAACATATGTAAAATTGAAAGGATAATTTAACATTACAGACTTCCATAAACTGCTCCCATATTTGTGCTCTGATTCTGTAATTTACACTTGAAATACGTTATTTCATTTAATGGTAAATAGTACTCGTTTGCGGCAATATAGAGCAACACACAGAAGAAAATAGAAAATCGTGTATTACTTACAGCTCTTTTCATAATGCTAGCAACACAAAGGTTTGTTTGGCTTGCTTGCTTTGTTTGTATCAATGTTTGCTCAAGCATTGTAATTAAGATTGACATCTGAAAACAACATAAAAAGGCGGATTTAAACTTGTATACATTATATTTAAATTTGATTGGACATTATCAAATAATCAAATTTACCTATACACAGGTTTAACTCCGCCTACTTATATTGTTTACAGATGTCAATCTTAATTACAATGATTGAGCAAACATTTATACAAACAAAGCAAGCAAGTCAAACAAACCTTTGTCTTGCTAGCATTATGAAAAGAGCTGTAATCAGTTCAGTTTTGATTTAAATTTCAAGATTGTAACCAGAACAAAAACAAAAAAATCAAAAGAAGTAGTTGCTGAATTTACATCCACCAAATATTCTGAACAGATTAACGTCATTAACACATTTTGTATAAGATGATGGGTCTACGACACTCAAAAACCGTGGCTGTGTTTCACATATGCAGACAGCAATATACAAAGAAGAATGATGACGTCGAAAAGCGAAGAAGTTGAAAAATGATGTAATGTTATAATTTACCCTTTATAAAAACCAGTCCATCCACTACCAGAATAAATTCCATATGCACAACTGAAGATCCCGGAATATTGGCCAGGTGTTGCGTTCATGTACCTTGTTTTCACAACATCAACGGGGGAGGATACGATAACGGCAATAAAACCGGCTGTAACAGCTGACAGGAAATGACAAGGAATACCGTCTGTTAGAATACCGGACTGAAGTATCTTGTGTTTAGTGACGTCATACGTCACCATTTCTGTTACTCCGACAGCAATGTTTCGTATAATATTTGGCACTACACCTGTAAAGCAAAAAAAGTTTGTTGTATTATGGATTATACAATGGTTGCTATTTAATTTTTATGCCCCCGTCGTAGCGGAGGGGGCATTAATTTTTACCTTTGTCCGTCTGTACGTACGTCTCAAAGTTTGTTTCCGTTCTCTAACTTTAGTTTGCCTCAACCAAATGTTTTGAAACTTATATACAATGCTTATTATCACTAAATACAGATCAAGTTCGAATTTTGGTGGCGTCACTTTTACCGTTCTAGAGTTATGCCCCTTTACAAATGGAAAACTTGCTAAATTTTTCGTTTCCGTTCTTTAACTTAAGTTTGAATCAACCAAATGTTATGAAACTTATACACAATGCTTATTACTACAATATACAGATCAAGTTCGAATTTTGGTGGCGTCATTTTACTGTTCTAGAGTTATGCCCTTTACAAATGAAAAAAATTGCTAAATTTTTCATTTTTTTACCCCTAAATATCAAGTAATTTTTAAAATTGGAGTTATCTTCCCTTGTACATGATTATAGCTGAATCAACTACAATCAATGCTTTATACAATGCAATGTTTAATTTTGCCTTCCACTGATAAATTAAAGCAATTTTTACCCTTCATTCCTGAAAATATTTCAGCCTTCTTTGTGCATAATGGTAGTTGAATCAACTACAACCAATGCTTTATACAATGCAATATTAAACTTTTTTACTTCCTACTGATATATTAAAGCAATCTTTACCATTCAGTGCTTACAAGCTGTTTGATTACCGTTCTTTCTAGGGTTATGCCCCTTTACAAATAAAAAAATTGCTGAATTTTTCGTTTCCATTCTCTAACTTTAGTTTGCCTCAACCAAATGTTATGAAACTTATACACAATGCTTATTACTACATAATACAGATTAAGTACGAAATTTGGTGGCGTCACTTTTACCATTCTTGAGTTATGTCCCTTTATAAACATAGAAATTGTTGAATTTTTTGTTTCCGTTCTCTAACTTAAGTTTGTCTCAACCAAATGTTATAAAACATATACACAACCGATCTAGAGTTATGCGTGTTTACAAATAGAAAAATTGCTGAATTTTTTAGTTTCTGTTCTCTACTTAAGTTAGCCTCAACCAAATGTTATGAGACTTACACACAATGCTTATTACCACAAAACTCATATCAAGTTCAAATTTGGGTATAGCGTCACTTTTACCGTTCTTCAGTTATGTCCCTTTATAACTATATGATATGCAAGCGGGGGCATCATCTGTGTCCACATGTGGACACAATCCACATATATTTTTTAAATTGACTTGCAAATCAATTTAAAATTAAAATATCATCTAGGTCGTTTGTTTCACTTCAATGTTTCTAACCGCTATACTGATCGACTGGTCGAATATACACACACATAAGATTGATATTTTTTTATGGGTTATACCAGCTGCGTTAAAAATACCTTCTTTTGTTATGTTGTCTTAAATTTATGACAACCATATTGGAGTTTGATCGTTATTTTAGAAATGAAGTCAATTAGCATTAATTTCATTCGCTTGAATACATTATTTTTTTCTCTGTGTTGAACATGTTAAAGAGGGGCGTAAAGGTAGGGGGGGGGGGTATCTGCACGGAAGTACGCGAAATAAAATTGCCATTTCACGATGAACGAACAATTAAAAATTTCTTGCACGTTGATCTTTTCACCGATTTCACGAAACACGGTGAATAACGAACCTTTTTCACGGCTGCACGTGAAATAAAAATGGCAAAACACGTTGCACAAAAGTAACCCTTTACTACCCTCGTTAAAAGTAGGCTACAAACAAATTTAATTTATTAAAAAAAAAGATAAATAGGTTATTTTACAAGGGAATTTAAATCAGATGCTTTATTGTAGCAAGAAAACGAAAACGATCCCAAATTGTTGTATTTTATAGTTTTCTTATATTATTCATTGAGTGCCATTCCCTTTGATTCTCTTTCAAAATCATATCGATAATTTTCATAATGATATATTTTTTTAACCTCATGATATGGAATAAATCTTGACAAAATAGAAAATTTTACACATTCTGTAATAATTTTAAAAACAAGTTTGATGATATCTCACTCGTACTTTTAATTCGTATACATATTAAATAGCACAATTAAAAGACTTCTGTAATTCTAGAACAATCTTGTCTTAGATCCCTAGCCGATTTCAGCTTTACGTGTTGTTCCTACTACATGTACTACTTTTAAAAATAAGAACTTGAAATTCTCTGACATCACCACTGAACATAACATCAGCTCCAACTTGATATTACATACATTCTTCAAGCAATTTACATTTTTCTTATTAGTTTTAGTTCTTTAGATGAATGGCACTAAAGTAATTCTTAGCAAGCAGACTTGACATTGGACTGATATAATTTTTACATATACAATTTCAACTGATTCTACAATTATTCAAAAGAAGTCTTCGCGCGGATGGCAGACGTCGTTCGACATAACTTGGCTCGGTGACTTTTGAGTCGTTTACAAATAAATTACCTTTCCATAGTCCTCGGACTCCTTCCTCGTTTGCTATACATTTGTAAGCACTTATAGAACTGTTGTATGTTCGGGCACTTGTTGTACTCTGTCCCTGCATTCGAATCTTTACCACATCCGTAGGCTGAGCCAGTGTAACGGACAGCGCGCCAGTGGTGACACCAGCCATGAGACGAATTTTTATTGGCATGTCCTTGTTTTCTGAATCTATAAACGAATTCAACAAAAAAGGTCAAAATCTAGAAATATCAACACATAACTGTATATACACGATCAAAACGGGATAGCGAAAACTAGTGATATATAACTTGGTACATTTAGTCATATATATGATAAAATACTGAAAAACAGTCTTACCCTCCTTTACTCGCATGATAATCCCTTTCTCCTTAAATTTATTCGCATCACAATCCCTTTCTCCTCTAATTTACTCGCATCACAATCCTTTTCTCCTTTACTCGCGTTACAACCCCTTTCTCCTTTACCCACCTCACAATCCCTTTCTTCTTAACTCGCATCATAATCGCGTTATCCTTTACTCAATTCACAATCCCTTTCTCCTTTACTCGTATTACAATCCATTTCTCTTTTATTCACCTCACAACCCCTTTCTCCTTTACTCGCATCACAATCCTTTACTCGCATCACAATCCCCATCCTCCTTTACTTACATCACAATCCCTTTTCCCTTTACTCACCTCACAATTCCTTTCTCCTTTACTTACATCAAAATATTACCCTTCTTTATTCGCATCACAATCCCCATCCTCTTTTACTTACATCACAATCCCTTCTTCCTTTACTTACATCACAATCCTTTTCCCCTTTACTCACATCAAATCCCCTTTCTCCTTTACTTGCATAAAAATCTTACCCTTCTTAATTCGCATCACAAACACCTATTCCTTTATTCGCCCTAAAATCTCACCCTTCTTTACTCGTATCAAAATCCCTTTCTCATTTACTCACTTCACAATCCCAACCTCGTGTACTCACATCACAATCTTTTCCTCCTTTACTCGCATCACAATCCCATTTTCCTTTACTCACCTCACAATCCCTATCTCCTTTATTCGCATCACAATTCTTTCCTTGCATCATAATTACTTTATTCTTTACTCACATCATGTCTTTTCACAATCTTACCTTTCTTCACTCGCCTCTCATTCCCCTTCTCCTTTACTCGCTTCAAAATCCCACCCTCCTTTACTCGCCTGAGCCGACTCTCAACCAAACACCTTTTAATCGCCACACAATCAAACCAGCCTTTACCCGCGAGACAATCCCATCTTTTTTACTCGCCTCACAATCCCATCTTCTTCCTTACTTGCCTAACGATCCAATCTTTGTTTACTTGCCTCACAATCCTATTCATCTTTTACGCGCTCATCCCATCTTATTGTCGAATACGACGCAAAACTGGGTGTTTCTTTACCAAAGCAACACAATTGATGGATCATTTATTTCTGGGAAGTGTACCTCAGTTTTCCCCGGTGTTCGAGGTTGTTGTTGCTTCATCATTAGTTTTTTGTAAAATTTTTATATTGTTTACTTTCTGCTGTTCTTTAGTCTGTCTTTCGTCGACTTATGATTTCTGTATCCGAATAAGAGGAAATGAGACAGCAACCTAACGACACAAATGCCCAAAAGACATGTAGTACTATGATGTAGATGTCAACATGCACAAAAGACATGTAGTACTATGATGTAGATGTCAACATGCAGTCCTCAAAAATAGTCAGGTATACCGGATCTATTTCAGGCTTATTTTTTTAAAACAATATTTAAGAATTTCACTCATGTTACCTTTGTATAATAAACTAAAGTAAAAATCTTTGAATTCGTCATAAAGACCTAGTCTGACTGATGAGAAGCACAGTTGTCTCTGTAGACCTGGAACTAGACCTTTGTAAAGTCCACGGACACCTTCTTCACGGGCAATTACACCAACTGCATGACATAGTCCTCTGTACTTCACTTTGGACCGAGATAAACTGGTTATCTGTTTTACTCGGACTTCCGGTACTTTCCCTTCTCCTTGTAGCTGTTAGAAATTGTAAGGAATTAATACACTTGTCAAAGACTAAGTCAGAAACCACACATTTTTAAAATTTTTAAATTATAGGAGTTCAAATCCTGTATTTTTTGGATTTAGTGTTAAGGTTTTTTTCTGTCGTGTATTGTGGACTGCTGTTTGTCTTTCTATCTTTATTCTTATTATTCTTCCGGTAATGGTTTTAGGGGGATTGGGATTGAGTATCTCTTATGACGTACGCTGTAATTTCTTTGTTGAAATAACGTAAACGATGAATAAATAAATGTACGTTTGACTCTAAAGTTATCTAAAATAATACGATGTGATAAATGACTCATTTGAAGGGGGCATTTCATGCTTGACGATAAGGGTATTTAACCCTCTTTTATCTGTCCACTTATGATTGAGCATAGAACCGGAAGTTGTATCTTATAATAGTTTACACCATGATGCCATAAAATTTAATTGGATAACCTGCATTTATCATGCTTTACCGTAAAATAAGATCACATTGCCGATAGACCTCATAAACTATTGATCGCTATCATTTTGCATTAACCATTATGTCAAGGTGTAAATTAGAAACATTCCATCATACATACATAAGGGGTTTATCTAACACTTCTACACATACCTGAAGGCGAACTTTTGTTGTATCTCATGGGATCGTCGCAGCATCAGCCACACAAGCTGCTAACCCTCAGGGGTATATCTAACACTTCTACACATACCTGAAGGCGAACTTTTGTTGTATCTCATGGGAACATCGCAGCATAAGCTACACAAATTGCTAACCCTCAGGGGGTATATCTAACACTTCTACACGTACCTGAAAGCGAACTTTTGTTGTATCTTATGGGAACGTCGCAGCATCAGCCACACAAGCTGCTAACCATCAGGGGTATATCTAACACTTCTACACATACCTGAAGGCGAACTTTTGTTGTATCTAATGGGAACGTCGCAGCATCAGCCACACAAGCTGCTAACCCAGCACTCAAAACCTTTACATAAACACTTGGTTGTTCTTCATTGATACAGGATGTCTTCATCGTTGATGTCATTAAACATTTCTATAAAATAAAGATAACTTGCAGGCTAATTGATCTCCTAGTTTTGTTAGTCACTAAAATTTGTATAACAAACCACAGACTCTTAATTTTGAGGCATGGACCCCCTTTTTATGAGATTCATGTTTTCAGTAGAATTTTTTAATTATTTCAGCTTTTACTCATTTGTTTAATGTTACCTAGCTATTGCCAACCCATCTTAAATTGAGCGCAGTTTATATGTGCCATCCCTTATTAGAGAAGAAGGTTGGCACATATAAACTGCTTCAAATGTAAGGTTGTGCACACACATCTTGACGTTTTGTCAATAGTAATAAAATATGAGCAATGGGAAGAAAATAGTGTCCATGTATATATATATATATATATATATATATACATGGACACTATATATACATGAACACTATTTTCTTCCCATTGCCCGTATTTATACATGGACACTATTTTCTTCCCCATTGCCCATGTTTTGTTACTATTGATAGAACGTCTTGTGCCTGTGGGTTGTGTTTGTAAATGCAAGAACACGATAAATATAGGAAAATTAGCTGAAATTGAAACAAACAAACAAGAGCTTACTTAGGTCAGCAATCAACAGTTTACACAGTTTATTCAGTCGCCTGTACAATAAACGCTATAAAAAGAGGCAGGGATACCAACGGGACGATCATAAACCGTCAGTTGAAGAAAAATACCAGGGCCAAAAAGAAAATACACAACAGTCTACTAAATACTACACAGAAACTGAGAATTGGGCAACACAAAATACAGCAAAACCCAGGGGGTAAATTCAGGTTCTCTGAAAGGGTGAGTAGATTCTGCTCCGTTAGTGACACTCTTGTCGCATTCGATGATGTAACATTCGAGGAAAAGCGGGTGGAATTCCGGCTTAATATAACCGCATGCATAATATCTTTCCTTCGCAAGACTAAAGTTGTTTTCTTCGTATTTCCCCTAGAAAAATTCTGCTTGAGTTCTGCGATCAGATTTGTCCTGTCTATTATGGTCTTTTACAATAGATATTAGAGAGCTTGTTTATGACTGGTGCCTTTAATGATCTTTATTAGTAATCTTTTCCTGTGAAATGAGGATTAGAGTTTTAATTCAAATCCCACAAAAAAAATCCTGTCTGAGGTTTCTACGAATTTGCTGCAGCTACAATATATGATTTCTGAAGTACACACTACACAATGAAAATACTCATAAGATAACCAAACAGTTAAATTCATCCTATATATATATATATATATATATAGCCGAAACATGAAGTGACAAATATCCGACACCACAATCAAACCTCAATAGCCAAAACATGAAAGGTAAAATTTCCGACACCACATCAAATCTCAATAGCCAAAATATGAAGAGACAAATATCCGACATCTCTATCAAATCTCAATAGCTGAAACAAAAAGGGACAAATATGCGACACAGCCATCATATCTCAATAGCCAAAACATGAAGCGTCAAATATCCGACACCACCATCAAATCTCAATAGCCGAAACATAAAGGTACAATAATCGACACTACCATCAAATGTCAATAGCCGAAACATATAAGGACAAATATCCGACACCACCATCAAATCTCAATAGCGGAAACATAAAAAGGACAAATATATCCGACACCACCATCAAATCTTCAATTTTATTACATCTGCATCTATTATTCCTTTGTTATTTCACTTATCTAGATTAAAAGAGGGAGGGTAGATTGCTAGACTAAATGTCTATAGTCAAACTACTCTACAATTAAAGTGCCTGTACAAATTTCAAGCCAGGTACATCGTCAGTTGTTGTTTTTTATATTGTCTTTTTTTAGGGGGTGGGGTATAGGGGTGTCCTTTCATGGAATTTAATGTTTATTGCAGAATTTTGATTGTCTTAAATTCATTCCTAACTTTTCTTGACTATAAGTTGCTTTTTTTTCTAGACTTAGACCGATCAGACATTTGGTTTCCGGACAATAACTTTAGTTTAAGTGTATGGATCTCTATGAAATTTAATCAAAAGGTTCAGTACTACAAAAGGAAGGTTGGGATTGTTTTTGGGGTGATGGTCCTAACCGTTTAGGAATTAGGGGCCAAAAAGTGGCCCAAAACAAGCATTTTTCTAGTTTCAGGACAATAACTTGTGTACAAGTATTTCTATTGCTCTGAAATTGTACCACAAGGTTCAATATCAAAAGTAAAAGGTTGGGATTCATTTTGGGGGTAATTGCCCAAACCGTTCAGGAATTAGGGGCCAAAAAGGGTCTCAAACAAGCATTTTTTCTAGTTTTCAGACAATAACTCGTGTTTAAGTGTTCAATTTTAATACGACCGCAAACATTTTTTATATTGTACAGTTGCTTGTCTTTTTAGACTGAGACCGATTAACAGCTTGATATATTGTACAGTTACTTGTCTATAGTATTGACGACCGTATATTGACCCCAAGATGAAAGTTTTTGTGTCGTTTAAACAGCTTAAAGATTTATGAATTAAATAAATCATGCGTTAACGGGCACCACCCCAAATATCGATCCACGCAAGTCGTAAATATTTATATCGACTGTAATTGATCAACACTTTCATTTCCATCTTCTGTAATTGTAGAAAAATCAATCATATTTTATATGTGTTAATAAAACAAAACTACGTGTATCTACTATAGTTCGTACCCTCCGTCTATAGTTCGTACCCTCCGTTATACTTCTTGTTTTTGTTGAAACGTTCATTTCGTTATTATAATCAAACTCAACATGTATAAAAATCTAAAGTAAGCTGTAGAGAATAGAACATTTTAGTCGAAGTGTGTATAATACTTTACATATCACCCAAGAAAGCATGTGTGTGAACATTTCAATCATTTTGGAAATTGATATAGATAGACAAAATAATTGTTTGACTTTATTTAAGATTACTCCACATAGTATGAAGCAATAGGGTTAATAATTAATATTAATTATAATATATATTTATATTATATAATTATATAATTAATGTCTTTTATTCTAGTTTCAAGGCCCATGAAAGTCTTTAATTCCAACTAAAGGAAACATGAAGAGCAAAGTAATTTATTTCAGTGATTTACATCATTGAAAACACAAATTATTTGATATAAATCTTACCGTATAGGATGATCTGAAAATGATTCAAATAAAAAAACCATACACTATCAAACTGAATTATAAAGGTTACATGTGGTATGATGAACACAGTGGTCTTCTAATGGTGAATAGGGAATAATGATTTCGAAAAAAGATAATTAAGGAACAGAGAAGACTCCGACGTCACCACCTTACGCATCCCAACACCCCTTAAAAAAACTATTCAATTCTGATAAATCCCAACATCTATTCTCAAAAATTTGATACAACAGCAAGAAACTTGAGTGAACAAAATTTCTGGAGATTACATTTTGGGGAAGAGAATCTGGGGTTTTCCAGTATTATCGTCGTCCAAATACGTGATTTAAAATAATCCAACAAGGACAGTTAATGTCAGTTGTTTATATCAGATAAAAAAATCGCTACCACTAAATTTTTTCTATTGCATCATTTATTCAATATCTTTAATATTTCAGAAATTAGCAAAAAAGAAATGAAAATAGAAAAGTACAAAAAAAATAACATTAACAAACTCTACGTAAAAATAGCATAAAACGAATTACCGATTATCGACAAATAAAACTCACAGTGAATATATGCACAACAACTTACTATCACTTGTTTTTCCTCATTATAACGATTTTAATTTGATTTTGTGTTTTATACGGGTTCAACTGGAGGGTGTGTTAAAATTCTGGATTCTCATTGGTTTACATTTTTTCCTTGAAGGACTTCTATTTTTATATACTTATTTTTACCGGAGGTGTGTGTTAAATTGAAGTTCTGATTTGTCATCCCATGACATGTGATTTTGTTTGTAATCACATTCTGCAAATCATTTATTCATGTTATTCTATAAGTAAGTTTAATATTTCATCATCTTATTAAATTAACCGTTTGTTGACGTCTATAGTAATCCGGGTGTAAAATTTAAATGGTAAATGACTTTACTTAAGTGCAAACATGAAAAGTGGGAATTTGTTAATTGAACATAAATGTGTATTAGTTATTGAAAATATTATTGCAAGGGTCGATGCATTTCCTAAAGACGTTAGTTCTCACCTAGTCAGAAATATTGTCACTTTTCGTTGCATTTGTTTGAAAGTTGATGAAATAAAATCAAATTTGAAAATTAAATAACTTAATTTATGTGAATCTGAGACCAGTTATAATAAACTGCACGAAAGACCCTTCGCTTTGCTGTTTGATGTAATTGGGTTCAAAGAATTCTGTTCTAGTTTTACAAGCATCCATAAAACCAATTCTTCTTTGGCACTAAAGGGCCCTAGTAAGTCAACCCTTCGATTTGTTGTTGGATTTAAAAAAAAAAACATCATAGGTACCACGATTAAAATTTTGTACGCCAGACGCGCATCTCGTCTACAAAAGACTCATCAGTGACGCTCGTAATTGTGTTAAGAAATTGAAGGTTTTGCATTTTGAGAAATTATAGCGTTAAAGGACACCGGTGAATTTGTATTTGAAAGACACGACACATTTACTCTTATGATCATTTGTAGATGAAAGACACGACTCATTTACTCGTTTGAAAATTTGTATCTGAAAGACACGACACATTTACTCTTTTGATCATTTGTATTTGAAAGACACGACACAATTACTGTTTTGATCATTTGTATTTGAAAGACACGACACATTTACTCTTTTGAAAATTTGTATCTGAAAGACACGACACATTTACTCTTTTGATCATTTTATTTTAATATACAATGTCCTTTCTTTTCATTTTGAAATGAATACTCGAAAATCTGTCAAAATAACAGTTTTGTACATTTCATCCGTTTGTTATTTAATCAGATGATTGAAACAAAATGGACAAAAAAGTCATATTCTCATTAATTCTTGAAGCTTTGTCGCTATGAAATTTAGTAAAGATTTTTAAGAATATAGGAAAATTACCCTGTTTGTGAAATAAATATAGAAACAAATCTTCATCTAGGGGTAGATGAAATTAATCACTACCTTATGATACGCACTCTCAACAATTTTACGAGGCAATGCAAAGATATTTAACTGTATATCTGGAAGAAACAAGTTATGGGTAATACCGGTATTCAAAACAATTGCTTAATTAAGTTTTAATGACTGCAAGTGTCAGTTTTTGGTTTAAATATTCATATAATTCATTTGATAAATATATGTAATATATAATTACACAAGAAGTGGTGGTGATGGTGTCGTAAAAAGGGGGAATACGATGCCATTTAGATATTGTTTAAGAACTGTAAACTGTTTTACAATTCTTTCTTGTGGGGTGGTGATATGATTAAAACTGCGGTTGGGTACAAAGTACAGTTAATGACCAAGCTTATTTTTAAATGGGTTTTAGTTACGTAGACCTTTTTGGTTCATAATTCAAACTGTTAAGGTCATAATTTATCTTATTATTCATAAATAAGGGGTAAAGTCCAAACTGAAAGTATTTATGTGTCGATTATTTTCTTTTGATAGGTAAAATGTTAAGTAATAGATATATGGAAGATGTGACAAATAGAACAATAAATAGTTTGTTTTCATCCAAAAACAGTGGACTTTGAACTTGATTGAATAAGCATTATTTTAGACGGATTTTTTTCAACGAAAACCAGTTTATTCATTAAAAGCAATTTGTCTAACTAATGTAGCACCAAAACGATTATCTTGCATTTCATCTTGAATCCTGCATTTAAATATTAATGGGGGAGGGGTTGGGGGGGGGGGGGTTGAGTTGGCTAAGGAAGAACAAGATAATTTATTTATCAAACAGAGAAATGGAGAGAAGTGTATCAAGATCATATTTCATCCACGCAAAAGGTCGGAAGGGCATTTATTTGCTGTCGTAAAAGACTGGACAGGTACCTTCCTGAGTCGGTTAGGTAAGTATAAGAGAGGGAGGGACAAATACAGTCAGAACCGGATGTAGGGGGCAGGGGGCAGGGGCTCTTGCCCCCTTATGATGATACATGTATATGCAAATGCATAGACTTTTTACATGTCCTACTCTTAACGTTGCCTCGTTTGGCCCTCTACCTTTTCAAAAATCATGGATCCGCATCTAATAGCACGTATTCGTATATATAATCGTTTATTTACTTGAGATTTCAATTTTCTGTACATCATTTAACTTCTATTTGAAGAAACACTAACTTAAAGTGCTCTATATTAAATAAATACAGTGAAAATTTTGGAAGACGCAGACCTCTGTCTATTATTTCAATATGGTCAAAGCAAATAATTGTAAAAAATTGTCTTTTCACACATCGTTTTTGAACAAAATAGATATGAGCCGCGGACTTCTCCAAAAAGCTTTTTTTACACACGTTAACAATTTTTAAAAATACATTTTGCACCAAAATATGTTTATGTGTAAATTGTTTTAAAGCCGGCGTTTAGTCTTAGATACATGATTTTTTTTTATTAGTTGTTATTGGCTTTGAACTAGCTGTAAATAACTGCGAGTACTCTAAGATCAGTAATTTGTGTCTTTTTTGTTGTTAAGAATGTAAAAATACCCTGCCACGTCCGGTCTGTGTATTTGTTTGATGTTTTTTTTTCTTTGTATCGATCTGATGAGTTAATAGATATAAGTATAAGAAGATGAGATGAGTGCCAATGAGACAATAAGCCTTTTTCAACTAACTTTTATAGTTTGTTCTTATGTTGTACTGTTACACAACTGTCCAAGGATAGGGGAGGGTTGGCGCCTTCAAACTAGTTTAACCTCGCCACATTCCATATGTGTCTGTCCCAAGTCTGGAGCCTGTAATTGAATGGTTGTTGTTTGTTGCTGTCTATCATATTTGGTTTTTCGTTTATTGTTTTGCACAAGGTAGTTTGCCAGGGTAGTGGGAAGGTTTGACGCCATCTAGCATGTTCAACCCCGTCACATTCTTTATATGCCTGTCAAGATGCCTGTAGTTCAGTACTTCAGTGGTTGTCGTTGGTTAATGTCCGTCATTTTTAACCGGATTTTCGAAGGTAATATCGGTTAATAAAATGGTGATGTACAGCGGACGTCTGGGCGGATCTACGGGCGGCTGCCAAACAGTGTCAGCACAATAACATGAAAACGCTTTAACATTTTTTTTTCAAATTTAAATATGTTGTTTCCTGGGACTTAATGAAGGTCTAGTTCAATTTTCAAGATATTAGTATATCTCCTTTGTGAGTTATCGCCATTTTTAATATCTAAAATTGGAATTTTTAAGGATTTAGGGAGTGTCCTATGTAAGGGAGCTGCCATTTGATTTTTATGGGGGGGGGGGGGGGAGGGGGGCTAGGATGAAAAGTTTTGTCCTGCATTTTTTTTAGTTGTAATCTCTGTCCTGCCTTTTTATTTTTCACTCTATTCGGTCCTGCCTTTTTTTTAAAGTTTATCCTGAATTATTTTACCTAAATTGTCATCCTGACTTTTTTTTTGCAAGTGTCTCATCCTGCCTTTTTTTTTACTCAAAACTCCTGTCCTGCCTATTTTTTTCAAATTTCATCCTAGCCCCCCCCCCCCCCCCCCCCCCCCCCACCCATTAAAATCAAATGGTAGCTCCCTTAGACATTTTGTAGATAATTAAGTCTCCCTAAATCATATATATTCTTACCCCCACCCCCTTTCAATTTGAGATGTGCTTTTATCTTGTAAACGGTTGAGATCCCCACCCCTAAACCATATAATTATATTCTTGTATGGGACAATAAAACAAATCAAATGAAATATTTGGGGAGTCCCCGGGTTCACCCCCACCCCTTTCTTTTTGAAAACTTGTAAACGGTCAAGATCCACACCCTGAAACTATATATATTCTTGTAGGTGACAATAAAACAAATCAAATAAAAAATAAAAGGCGAGTCCCCTGGGGTCACCCCCACCCCCTCCTGTTTGAGAACTTGTAAACGGTCGAGATCCCCACCCCTAAACCATATACATTCTTGTATGCAATAAAGCAAATCAAATGAAATATAGGGGAAGTCCATGGGGGTCACCCCCACCCCCTTCTTTTTGATAACATGTAAACGGTCTAGATCCCCACCCGTAAACCATATATATTCTTGAATGGGACAATAAAACAAAACAAATAAAATTAAGGGGAAATCCCCTGGGGTAACCCCCACCCCCCTTCTTTTTGAAAACTTGTAAACAGTCAAGATCCCCATGCGGAAACCATATATATTCTTGTATGGGACATAAAACAAATCAAATGAAATATAAGACGAGTCCCCTAGGGTCACACCCACCGCTTCCTGTTTAAGAACTTGTAAACGTTCAAGATCCCTACCCCTAAACCATATATATTCTTGTACAGGACAAAAAAACAAATCATATGAAATAAAGGGAGAGTTCCCGGGGGATCACCCCCCCCTTTTGAGAACTTTAAAACGGTCGAGATATCCACCCCTAAACCATATAAATTAAACATTCGTCACAACTCGGCCGATTCCGTACCTTCATCTAATAGATGATATAGAAGGAGAGTAGCGGATTCACCCGAGGATTGCCGATTGGTAATTAAAGATCTATTTGTACGAGTTGTTTCCCTTAGGAGGGACAGATTGACCCTGTAATTAAAGATCTATTTGTACGAGTTGTTTCTCGAATTAGGAGCATACTATTTCATTGAAAACGAAGAGTTA